GGTGCGCTTGAACGATTTCATCAACAATTTCCATGCGTGGTCGCTGTTTTGGCCCCCTGGGGGAAAGGGACAGGGGCATAGTATTCAGACGGGGTAATGATATACGAGATTGCGTTGTCGGCTGGCCCCGCCGGAACGGGCGCCTGTTTTTTCCAGTCAGCTGCTGCTTTCTCTAGCCAACTTAACGTTCCGAAGAGGAGCAGAGATTGCGTGATTGTTGTTTTGCGTCAGGCGCGCATGCAGCCCACGTGGCTGCATCGCCGCGCACGCGGTGAGCATATTGGAAACCCAGACATCCGACGTCTCAATTTTTTCGAGACGCGGGCCCCCGACCTCCCGACCACTTCCCTGGGACTAGTTTTTCATCCCGAGTGGTTTTTTGACGGTCCCGACGCCCAGCGAGGGCCCCGAGAGGCCAAAAACTATGTAACACCTCTGTTTGTTTTTTTTTCGAGACGCTCAATGTCTGGGAATACTTACAGCGTCGCCACCGCGCGTTATGCAGTTCCATCCTTCCTGAGGGTGATATAGGGAAAATCAGGGAGGGAAAAGGGAGGAATTCAAGGCAGAAGGAGGACAGGTAGGGGAGGTGATGAATAGAAATTGCGTTGTTTGTTTTGTTGCGTGCACGGCACCGCGCTCGACAATTCCATGTCGAATTTCCCGATGACTACGGAGAAGGATCCGAACATACTTGGCGAATAGAGGTGGACACAGATTGCGTTATTGTGCGTTTTCGGTGGCGGGGAAGACCACCGCCGCCAACCCTTCTGCTCGACTTCCGCTTTGCAGGTGTTTCCCTGGCAACGATTGCAAGGAGAATTGGAAAATGGATAGGGAACCGTGTGATAATAATGTAGCACCGTAAATAACAACGCCAACACATACATGAACACAAACACACTGCCATACATTTAACATATACGTACGCATACAGTTGCATTCATGTGTATATATACAAATATGATGTGTTCCACCACCCTTATGTTTCACCACCGTGGGCTGTTTCACCGCCCTGCTGATTTGGGGTCGCGTTTCTTCTCAGGCCTCGGGCCCCTGGCGGCGCCGGCTGCAGGCCTTTGACATTTCCGAGAACGGTGCCCCTGCACGTTCCCGTCCGAGAGCGGTGCCCTACACACTTGCGTGCTACAGTGCAAAACTGAGAGAGAGAGAGGGAGAGAGAGAGAGAGAGAGAGAGAGAGAGAGAGAGAGAGAGAGAGAGAGAGAGAGAGAGAGAGAGAGAGAGAGAGAGAGAAAGAAAGAGCGAGAGAGAGGGAACGAGAGCCAGGAACAATAAGACTCGTCGCTCCTGGCCCATATTTTTCTACATGCGGTCGCCCTTCGGGGCACCGCCCTTCGGGGCGAAGCTTCCATCCCAGGATGAGAAGAGATTGCGTTGTTGTTGCAACGCATATGTCGCGTACGCGCGTGCATTTTTACGATGATCCAGAACTGTTTGCCTTGCCTAAACAATCATCGTCATCCCGCATGTTTACGTATCTGGTGGATTCTCTGTCCGCACTGCCCCCCAGCCCTGACTCGCCAAACTATCCTCTAGGCTTCCGCCTGTGCTCCGGTACCCTTGAGACGCAGAGGCGTTACTACCAACGCCCAACGACGCAGCTCCTAGCTCACAACGCACGCGGTTGCAACAACAGTCTGTTGTTGGACGCTTACATATAATAGAAAAGCTGTCTACATACACACAACATCTTCACAACGAACCAACGACAACATACACGCTATATCACCAGAACTACAATTGTCTCGTTTTTTTTGCAATGTCTTGGTTTTTCTGCTTTGTCTTGGTTAAAAACCATGACGTTCTGGGCGGCATTGGTTTTTTTAGGGCTGTCTGATGTCTGGGCCTGGGGGACCCGCAGGCCGTTCAGCCAGATGATCATACCGGCTCGGCGGACTTCCACCGCCGTGGAGGCGGCCGCCGGCGCGACATGTTTCCGTCGCCGCTTGCGGGGTCAGTTCCCTCTCGATCTGATGCTGGCGGGCGCCGCTCGCAGAGACGCAAGGCTGTTCATGCTCATCATCGGGCTCGGCTAAGCGAGGTCATTGCATCCCTGAATTGACTTTGCGGTTGTCGGAGCGAAGTTGGCCTTCCCGTCAACCAGTGCCAGCGTGCCGCCATTGATCATATGAACACCGCTCTTCATCAGCTGGGACGACTTCCAGAGAATTCTTGACGCTTCGCGCATCCCCACCAGCCCATCCAGAAACGATGCCCCGACAAGTTCAAGAGATCAGGGAAGTGGGGGAGCAACGAGAGGGACAGCCGATCCGTGCAAAGGATGAGGCGGAAGAGGAGGCCAGATGGATAGATGAGGGGGTGGCGAGGAACCGAGCAAAGGAGGGATGAGGAGAATGATGACGCTGGGTGGATGGTTGAATGCCGCTCGGATGCCTCTTGGAAGCCTTTTGGAAGCCTCTTCGGGCGTCTTGAGGGCCTCTTGGCGGTCAATGGGGGCTCTTGGGCGTCTTGGGTGCTTCGGGGGGGCCTCTTGAGTCCGCTTGGGATCCTCTTGGGGAGCTCTTGGGGGCCTGTTGGAGGCCTCTTGGGGCCTCTTGGGGGTCTCTTGGAGCTTCATGGCGGCCTCTTGGAGGCATCTTGGAACCATCCTGGGAGCCTCTTGGGGGCTTCTTGGGGCCTCATGGCGGCCTCTTGGGGCCTCTTGGAGGCTTCTTGGAAGCCTCTTGGGGCCTCCTGGGCGCCCTTTGGGGCCATCTTGGAAGCGATCGATCAAAGAAGAGGGTGGAGTTAATTAACCTTGCCCCCCCAAGAGGCTACAATGGGGCCAATACCATAGTAAAACTTATGATTTTGGCTTCCTCGCCGAGGCCGTTTTGGACGCTCTAACTACAAGCGAACCCCCCCGTCCAGGTCCAGGGGGGGGGGGGGGGGGGGTAGGGGGAGGGGTAAACCCTCCCCGAAGGGGGAGAAGGAGGTTGGAAGAGGAAACTCCCGGAACCACCTACGCCCAGAGGGCTGGTGGGATTATGGAGAGGCGCGTGCTTGCGAGGACGGGGCCCTCGAGGAGCTCCTCCACGGCGCGTCGGTCCACGGCGACCACGCCAATCCGTCTGCGCCCTACAACCGAGAGCACATCTCGTGGCCTGCTCTTTGGCGACCCGCACGTTCACGCTGAGTTCCCGGGTAAGCTCCACGCCCGTGGGATTATTTCGTTCTCGGAGGCGGTGGGCGCCAAGGGTTATGTGGGCTTGCTTTTCGTTCCCAAGAAGAATGCGAGTCAACGCGTCATTTTTGATACACGTATCGCAAAGTTTTCTTTCGGCCGCCTCCAAAGACCAGGCTACCCACAGCCTCTGCTTGGAGCTCGTTGGAGGTGCCTCCGTCAGGCGCCTACATCGCCACCGCTGGCCTGGAGTTTGCGTTCTACCACATGCGACTCCTGGCAGGCATGGGGGATTACTTCACGCTGCCCGCCATCGATGCGACATTCTTGATGGAGGCAGGCCCCGCGGAGTTGCTGTTCGCACCTGGTCAGCTGGTCACCGCCAAGGTTGCGGCGTTGCCGATGGGCTTCTCGCGGGCCCTGCGCCTGCGCCACGAGGCGTCGGCCACCTGCTTGTTGCGCAGCGGGGTGGACCCATCCAACATCATCGTGGACGACCAGGTCGGCATCCAGCTGGATCGGGGCCGACCCGTTGCCGCCGGGGCCTACGTCGACTACGCGATCACCGTCGGCGCCGCGCCCGAGGCGGCCAAACGCCTGCTCCACAAGCTGGTCAGTCATCTCAGGCTCGCGGGGCCGGTACTTCACGATATCTGCGAGGCGTCCGCCAACGTCGAGTTTCTCGGGCTACAGCTGCGCGATGGGGACCTCTCTCACCATCAAGGCCCGAAGCGTCTGGAGGCTGAGGGCGGCGATCAGCAGCCTGCTGCGGAGACGCTGGACGACAGGCTATGCTCTGCGGGCGGTGCGGGGTCACATCACGTGGACCACTATGATCCGCAGAGAGGCGCTCACCACCCTGCAAGCGTGCTACGCCTTCGTGGACACATTCGGCGGCCCCCCGGGGCGGCTCTGGACTTCGGCAATGCGCGAGCTCGAGCTGGTCCGCAACTAGTTGCCCGTGCTGCAGGCGGACACCACCGCTGGATGGCACGGCACTGCCGCGCGCAGCGATGCAGCGCCTTGTGGGCTCGGTGTCACGCGGCGGCGGCTGGCGCCAGGCGACGTGGCCGCGCGCGGCCGCTTCTGAGAGCGCTGGCGGTTCAAGGTGGCCGGTGCCGCCTCCTCTCGCGCGAGGTCGCTGGCGGCGGGATCAGCCGTCGAGAGGAGCAGCGTGAAAAACAAGTTGGTGCCATCTCACAGTTGTCGCCCCCATGCTCACGTTCTCTCACTCAGTCATGCTGTTGGCGGCGGCGATGGGCCGCACTCAGTGGCTGCAGCCTGTCAGGTCCTTCAAGCTCCTGAGGTCCCCTTGGCCCCCGCTGGAGTTGTCTCGGACGGCGTCTTGGACGACGACGCGCTCCCGCGCATGGGCCCCTGCAAGGGCTTCGAGGTCTCAGAGTCGACGGGCAACCCCGCGGATGTCTTGGAGGCAGAGGGCGTCTTGGGCGATTTCAGGGCGAGGTTCAACGAGGCCCCAGCTGCCATGACATGCAGCGAGGGTTGGAGGCCCACAGCGGCCCATCAGGTCTCGAGTCACGCTAACATCCTGTGCTTGGAGGGAGAGGCCCCATGCTTGGCCTACCGACATTTGTTGCGCGACTCAAACTGTGATGGTCGTCGGGTCCTTATTCTTATAGACAACCTGCCCTGAGCTCTTGGAGTGGTCAAGGGAAGAGCTCAGATCATTCATCTTCGTCGTTGTCTTTTGCGTGTATGTGCACTGTCGATCGCCTCGGGCTCCAAGCACTGCGCGCGGCGGGTCGCCTCGGAGCGGAACATGTCCGACGCCGTCAACCGCGGGCGTCATGGCTGGTTCAGCGGTTCACGGGGGCTGGAGGGCCCCCGCCCGAGGCGCGCTGCTGGCCGGTTGCGCGGCGCGCATGCTGGGCTGCCAGGGCGCCGACGCAGCGCGCGGCTCGCGGCCGCCGAGCCTCTCAGCGGCCGCTGCTCAGCGACAGAGGCTGGCGCGCCGGGCAGCGGCGGAGAGGCCGCTCTCGGGAGGCCTCGCCCTGCTCGAGACGCTGGCCGCGCGCTCGGACACCGAGCGGAGCTATCGCCAGCTGCTGCAGACTTTCGTCGACCGGCGCGGGCTCCATCGGCAGACTTGGAGCAGTTTCGAGGAGATCGACCTGATTGTGGCTCAGTACGTCTCGGACCACTACCAGATGGGCGCGGCCTGCAGCATCGGCTCCCGGACGCTGGCAGCAATAGGGCGCGCGACGCCGTCGATGTTCAGAAGAACGGCATCGCCCCCCCCCCCCCCGGGCCTCGAGGGCCTCGGCCGCATGGCAGCGGAGGGCGCCAGGGAAGACGCGGCTGCCATTGCCGCGCGCTGCTGCTCACGCGATAGCAGGCTTAGCCTTCGCGGCCTATCTGAGGCCCACGGAAGCCCAGAGCCTAACCAGGGAGAGCCCGGCGCCGCCGACGCCTGCTGCGGAGGTGCAGCGCCGCGGGCGCCGGGCCGCGCAGTCGTCGATGAGGATGAGGCGCTGCGGCAAGGAGAGCGCGCTTCTGGACGAGATCGCGCGGGCGAGCTCGGAGGTGTTCGCCTTCGGAACGCTGGTCGAAGCCCACTTCGCGCAGCTCCCAGAGCCCAGTTTCTACCGAGCCGCAGTCCTGTGCCCAGTGCCCGCGGCGGTGATGCGCGCGCTGGGTCCGACGCCGGCCCAGGGGAAGCGCGTTCGCCGCCGGTTGGCAGCGCGGCGGAAGCCGCCTCTCCGCTCACTGGGGCAGCTCGGGCGCCCGAGGGACAGTTGCGCGGGCGGCACCTGCGGCGGCGGCTGAAGGCTGCGCGGCGCGTGGTGCTCGAGCCGTTCGCCAGCTCTGGGCGGCTGACCGAGGCGGTCAAGCGGCGCGGCCTCCCCGGGCTGTCGCTCGACCTTCGCCACGGAGCGGCAGAGGGCCACCTCTCGAGCGCGTTCAGCTTGACGCTCAGAGGCCAGCTGGCCGCCCGCGTGGCGGGCGCGGCGTGGCTCGGAACACCGTGTGCGACATGGAGCCAGGCGCTGCGATGCCCGCTGAGGTCGAGAGCCCGACCGATGGGCAAGAGCGATGTGTTGCCGCATGAGCGCGCCAAGCTCACGATCGGCAATCGGTCATTCCATTTCAGCTGTGACATCATAGAGCTATCTAGATATCTCTACACATTCCAGTCTATCTCGAGACCCCGTCGTGGTCGTTGTTGTGGCACGCTCGTCGCATGCGGCCTCTGCTCCAACATGCTTCGGGCCAGGTCAGCGTGTTCGATAGTTGTCAATACGGCGTTCCGTGGCGCAAACGCACTCGTGCAACTAGTTTGGGGTCCGTGAATCGTGCTAGCATGTGCAAGATGTGCACTGGCCGTCGAGGGATGTGCTCGAAGAGCCAGCGCCCTCACATCATTCTCAGCGGCCACGAGGGCGGGGCCTATCGCACCGCTCTGGCCGCGGCCTCTCCAGCAAAGATTTGTGCCCGCATGCCTAGAATTATCGAACATCCGATGCTTGCCCCAGTTCATGCCTATCGCCGTAGCATTGCTCTATCGTTTTAGCCTGTGCTCAATGTGTTCTCAGTTCTCGGTCATGTAAGAGAGTCTGCTCTGCGTTTTATTTTATCAGCGGCCTGTCGGCCAGCCCCGTCCTTGTTTGGGGTTTTGGGGGATCTCGGCGTGTTCTGTGCCCGTCGCGGCGGCGCCCTCTGGCTGTTACCTTTGCCTGGCTCCCGTGCACGCATATCGTCGAGAAAGATCGGCCGCGCCTTAATATGATGGGCTGCGCCCTCTCCGCAGCCCCGCTCCTTCCGGTCGTCTCGGCGTGCTTTGGATGGCCCTCGGAAGTGGAGACGGGTTAAGTATATATATATATATATGTATATATATAAGTAGATATAAACTAATGGTCTGTTGCTGGGATCCGGGAAGCGGGTTAGTTCAAGGGTTCGGGAATCCAAACGTATCCGTTGAGGGGGCCGCCGAATTGGTCATTTGTGGGGATTCGGCTAAGGTGTATCGGTTGGCCAGTGGCAGAGAGTTCAGAGTAGGGCGTCGGGACCCTTTCGATTTCTGCACTTCGCTAAAACACCGGATCCCCATGGTTAACCCATTGGAACCGATCCCACTTGTTAACCCACTGGAATCGGCGCCGTGGCCGAAGGATTCCGATGCCCCAGGATCTGTTCTGAGCTCCTGGGATTTCGATGCCAGCGCATCCGCTTCGCAGTGGTGTAAGATGTCAGTTCGAGGGGTCCAGACAGTTCACGCGGCTCGCTGGGACCAGAGGGTATGCGCCGTGGCCAGGAGGATTCCGATGCCCACGATTCTGCTCTGAGCTCCAGGGAATCCAGTGCCAGCGCGTCAGTATCGCAGTGGAGGAAGAGGTCAGTTGGAGGGGCCCTGACCCCCCCTCAGACGGTCCACTGGGGCCACAGGATTTGCGCCGTGGCCACGCGATCCGGGTGCTAGAGGACCTCTTTTGAGGCCAAGGGATTCCGATGCGTGGGCGTCCGCGTCGCAGTGGAGGAAGAGGTCAGTCCGATGGGGTCCTGACCCCTCCAACGGTGTCCTGGGGCCAGAAGATTTGCGCCGTGGCCAGAGGATCTCGATGCCAAGGCGTCTGTTCTGGGCGCAGATGGGAATCCTTTGGCCACGGCGCAGATTCTCTGTCCCCAGTGGAAGGTTTGAGGGGTCAGGACACCATCATACTGACCGCTTCCTCCACTGCGAGGCGGATACCCTCGCATCGGAATCCCTTGGTGTCAGAGGAGATCATCTGGCATCGGAATCGCGTGGCCTCGGCGCAGATCCTCTGGCCCCAGTGGACCGTTTGAGGGGTCAGGATCCCTCGAACTTACGTCTTCCACCAATTGCGAGGCGGATGCGCTCGTAACGGAACCTTCTGGCCCCATATTTCAGCCCCAGAGCCGATGTTTCCGCATCGGAATTCTCAGATCACGGCGCAGATCCTCTGGCCCTAGCGGACCGTTTCAGGGGCCAGGACCCCATTGCCATTGGATTCCCTGGAGCTCGAAACAGATCCGTGGGCATCGGAATCCTCTGGCCACGGCGCAGATCCTCTGGCCCCAGTGGGCCGCTTGAGGGGTCAGGACCCCTCAAACTGATTCCCTTCTTCACTGCGAGGCGGATATCCCAGGATCGGAATCCTTTGGCCTCAGATGAGATCCTCTGGCATCGCAATCGCGCGGCCACGGCACAGATCCTCTGGCCTTTGTGGACCGTTTGAGGGGTCAGGACCCCATCGAACTGACGTCTTCCTCCACTGCGAGGCGGACACAGTCGTATCGGAACCTTCTGGCCCCAGAACAGATGGAATCTTTCAGCCCAGAACAGGTGCCTTGGCATCGTAATCCTCTGGCCACGGCGCAGATCCTCTGGCCCCAGTGGGCCGCTTGAGGGGTCAGGACCCCTCACATTGATTGCTTTCTTCACTGCGAGGCGGATATCCCAGGATCGGAATCCCTTGGCCTCAGATGAGATCCTCTGGCATCGCAATCGCGCGGCCACGGCACAGATCCTCTGGCCGTTGTGGACTGTTTGAGGGGTCAGGACCCCATCGAACTGACGTCTTTCTCCACTGCGAGGCGGACACAGTCGTATCGGAACCTTCTGGCCCCAGAACCCAGAACAGGTGCCTTGGCATCGTAATCCTCTGGCCACGGCGCAGATCCTCTGGCCCCAGTGAACCGTTTGAGGGGCCAAGACCTTTCGAACTGACCTCTTACCCCATTGCGAGGCGGGCGCACTGGCATCGGAATCCCAGGAGCTCAGAGCAGATCTTTGGGCATCGACATCCTCTGACCATGGCGCAGATCCTCTGGCCCCAGGACACCGTTTGAGGGGTCAGGACACCATCAGACTGACCTCTTACCCCACTGCGAGGCGGATACCCTCGCATCGGAATCCCTTGGTCTCAGAGGAGATCCTTTGGCATCTGAATCGCGTGGCCACGGCGCAGATCCTCTGGCACCAGTGGACCGTTTGAGGAGTCAGGACCGTACGGAATGATTGGTGGTTCATCTCGTCGCGAATCGAACGCTATATTTTTCTTCATCGGGTCAGAAAGCTGCACAAGCATAGATGGTTGGATGTCCGCGCGAATTTCTCGGATCGGCGTCGAGCCTTCCTGGCGGCGTCTCCAGCGCCGCCCCTGGCGCGCTCCGGACGCCAGGGAGAGGGGCCCAGCGCCGATTCAAGTAACCCGCTCGGAATTCCAATTGTTTCTGCATTTCCAGTCTCTTGTTCTTCTATTCCCACTGTGTTTCTCGAGGTCTCCTAATGAGGATGAGGAGGAGGAGGTCGTTCCGCAGGATTTGCGGCAGCGCGGCGTTGCGAGGGAGGGGGAGCAAAGATGCGTTGATACCGCGACTCCCCCGACGTCATTCGGGTTGTGTTTTAACCCAGTGTTCGGTTGTGAATCCAACCGTGGCAAGTAGGGACGGGTGGCGGCACCAACACATGTTCCCTTCCAAGTGGCACAGATTTGGGGGAGGAGGGTGGCAGAGGGAGGAGGGACCGGGGGTTAAGGACGGCGAGGAGGAGTTGGAGGAGGAGCTCAGCCGTGTGCTTGCCGAGGTCTCCGGAGGAGAGCCCAGAGGTAGAGCAGAAGCGACAGGCGCAGATTGCCAGCCTGACGCAGATGCGGAACCAGCTGCAGGAGAACTTGCAGGCCATTCCTCGAAGAGGGGGGAATGACAGAGTCACTGACCTGCACGCTGAAACCAAGACCGCTTCGGGTTCAGGAGGGGCTCTTTTTTTAATCGCCGCTCCCCAGGTTTAGGTTGGGGACCATGCTCGTGGCCGAGGCTGGCCATGGCCAGAGCAGCACATTCGCTCCTCGGTCATCGGCTTTCCATGCCTGCTGGAGCTCCGCTCGATCGGCGCTGGTCTCCCCCTGGCGGCGCCCCTGCTTCTCAGAAGGCGCGGGCCGTATCTGTAGATGTCAGGCCGGCGCCGTCTAAGAAGCAGCATATTTCTACGAAGCCCTCCACCTTCCCCCCACCCCCTTGTGCGCACCGTCACTACCCACCGCCAGCTGACGTCCACGAAGATCCATGCAGCAGGTGGTGGTCATGGATGGAGCACCGGTGCGCGGCGCTCGGGACGCGCGCGGGGGGGCCAGGCCAGAGCACTTCCTCCTCCTCCTCCTCCTCCTCCTCCTCCTCCTCCTCCTCCTCCTCCTCCTCCCTCCTCCTCCTCCCTCCTCCTCCTCCCTCCCTCCTCCTCTCCTCCTTCCTCCTCCCTCCTCCTCCTCCTTCTCCTCCTCCCTCCCTCCTCCTCCTCCTCCTCTCTCCTCCTCCCTCCTCCTCATCCTCCCTCCTCCTCCTCCTCCCTTCCCTCCTCCCTCCTCCTCCATCCTCTCCCTCCTCCCTCCCTCCTCTTCCCTCCTCCTCCTCCCTCCTCCTCCTCCCTGCCTCCTCCTCTCCTGCCTCCTCCTCCCTCCTCCTGCTCCTCCTCCTCCTCCACCCTCCTCCCTCCTCCTCCTCTCTCCTCCTCCTCCTCGCTCCTCCTCCTCCTCCTCGCTCCGGCTGTCCAGGCCCCCCGTCCGACCCGACAGGGCGTGGAGGGAAACGTGGCGACTGTTCCTGCGCAGGGTGCAAGGCTTGCCTGTCCTCGGCGCGCCTGCGTGGCCGCATGTCTGTCGCCTGCGGCGGGTCTACGAGGGCGTGCGAACGGGTCCCTGGCCCGCCCAGGCACGCGGCTGCCCAGGGGAGAGGAAATGGGCGTTGTGTCGCTCGGACGTGTGCATTCTTCCTCGGCGGGGACTACCAAAGGAGCATCTTGGACCATCTGGCAACAAAAGAGAATCCACACGAGACCGACAAATGCACGGGGTATGGACGTCCGAGCGATGGCGAGCAGGGGGATGGGGACCAACCCCACGTGTTCCGACCTCTAGCAGTCATTGGAAGCCTCCAGAGGGTCCAGAATAACCCGACACGTTACAGCACATTGTTTCTGTGGTGTTCGACATTCGAGGAGGAGGAGGAGGAGGAGGAGGAGGAGGAGGAGGAGGAGGAGGAGGAGGAGGAGGAGGAGGAGGAGGAGGAGGAGGGGGGGGAAAAGGGAATGACGCGGGGGGAAGAGGACGGCGAGGAGGAAAAGAGTCTCCCCCTGAACGCCGAAGTGATGCAGGTCAACCTTCAGAATTCCTCAACCTTCCCAGAAAAAAGGAGGAGGATGAGGAGGACGGGCGAGGAGGAGGAGGAGGAGGCGGAGGAGGTTAAAGCGGAAGAGGGAGAAGGAGGAGGAGGAGGAGGGGGAGGAGGACTAGGAGAGGAGGAGGAGGAGGAGGAGGAGAAGGAGGAGGAGGACCGCTCCCTCAGCGCCGAGGTGATTAAGTGCAATTTGCACCACCTCTGTGTCCTCCTCCGCCCCTCCTCCTTGCTCGTCAGCCCTCCGCAACGAGGAGGAGGAGGAGGAGGAGGAGGAGGGAAAGGAGAGGGAGGATTGGGGTGGAGGGGGTAGGATAGGGGGATGGGGAGGGCAAGGAGGAGGGGGGAGCGAGGCGGTGGAGAGGAGGGAACGTGGCATCAGTCTGCTGGCGAGCCGGCCTCCAGTGTTAGTGATAGGGGGGGGGGGCCAGCAGGGCAGGTCAGGGGGGGGTGGGGAGCAGGCGAGGCAGCAGGCGAGGGCCCTCGAGGAGGAGGGGGAGGACGGCGGGCGGGCGGGCGGGGTAGAGGAAGGCTGGCGGGGAAGGGTTGGGGGGGGCAGGCGAGGAGTCTCAAGCAGTGGCGAAGCGTCCTGGCGTGCCTATAGGCCTACCAAACAATGTTCTAAGAACTTTCCTGTGGTTTCCACGAAAAGTTCTTAGAACATTTCTGGCCTGGATAGTCGTGTTTTAACACCTCGGGCTTTGTTCTAAGAACCTTGTTTTTGTTCTTGGAACAGAGGACTGTAGACATGCCGGGCCGGTCGGTCCCTGCTCAAAGGAGGACGAACCCTCGTACGCCCGAGAGGTGGTGCAGGGCAACCTGCAGCAGCTCTCGCAGCAGCAGGCGCAGCTGCAGCAGCTGTTCGCGCAGGCACAGCCCGGGCCGCAGCAGCAGCAGGCGCCCAGCGCGCGGCGCGGGGGGGGCCTTCTCTCCGCTCGTTGCCGCTCGCCTCCGCCCTCCTCGCCCCTCGCCGAGGAGCGGAGGACGCCATGTAGACGCCTCGCGCCGCCGAGCACGCCCCGGGTGCTTTTACGCGTGCACGCTCGCCCTGGGCGCAGCCGCCCACTCCTCACGCCGTGTGGAAAAGTCGGCCAGATCGTTGCCCAGCCCAGCTCTTGCTGCGGTGGCGTCCCGCTGGAGCGAGGAGCACAGCAACGCGAAGCACGCAGAAGATCCACCAACGGGCAGATCCACATGCCCCGCAGAAGCAGTCGTTCTCGTTCCGCTGCTGCTGTGGGGTCCGCCTCCGATGCGCTCATCCTGATCTTCGCCCCGTCCGCGCTCTCCCTGCGCTGCTCCCCCCGCCGCGCCCGCGCCCTCAGTGCCCCGTCCGCGCTCTCGCCCCGCGCTCCTCCCCCGCGCTCCTCCCGCCCCTTGGCAGCCTCAGCAGGGGGGGGTAGCCTCAGGGAGGAGGCATCGAGCCCCAGACGCCCACTCATCGCCGATAGGGGCCCGACAGCCCACCCCGACCAGGAACGTGCGGAGCCGCTAACGGGGGTGGCGTCGCCGCTCTGGATCGGCCATGAACTGCCGACTCCAGGTCGACGCTTCCCCCTCCCCGGAGCCGGTGCCCCCCTCCTTAAGGCCAATCGGGGGCCTTGAGACGGAGCCAATGCAAACCGGGTGGCGGCGGTGCCGGATCTTGCAGGACCTTGCAGAGCCAGGGGTGCATCGAACCGGGGTTGGGTGCAGGTTTCTTGCAGGATCCTGCAGGATTCTGCCGGATCCTGCCGAGCCTGCCGGACTCGGGTCTGGATTGGCCCGGGTCAGCAGATCCCCGACCTGACAGGCCAGGCGCTCCGTCTCACGCCCGTGCCTGCCCGCCGGGCGCCCCGCCGCTGTCTGCGGGCACTCTGGACGGCACCCCGATCGCACGCCTCGAGTCGCTCGGCTGCTGCGCTTCCTCTCGCGGTCGGGGGGGGGGCCGTCCACGCGCGCGGCCTGGAGGGGAACGCGCGTCCCTGCCGCCCGCCCCTCGTCCTCCTCGGCGGATGCCTCGCTCTCTCCGCGCCCCTCCCCCTCCACTGTCCACTCCGATCGGTCCGACTCGATTTCTATTCCGGTCGGCCTGGTCCGATTCGGGCGTTGCCGATCCGATTCGAGTTCGATTCCGTGCCAATGTAGTCTGATCCGATGCACATTTCGGTTCGATCCGATGCACGGCTTCGATGCTGACTGATCTTGCCCTCTCCCCTCCGCCCCCAGCCCCCAACCTCCCCCGTCTCGCCCCCTTCGCCTCCACCACGCTCTTCGGGCAGTGTCAGGGGGATCACCATTTCGGGGGTCACCACGAGGAGGAGGAGGAGGAGGAGGAGGAGGAGGAGGAGAAGGAGGAGGAGGAGGAAGCCCATTTGGCCTCTGGCGGGCCTGGGCCGTGACCGATCATCCGTTCGGCCTGATCGTCTGATCGCGCCGATCGTCTCACGCCCAATCGTGATCGGCCGCCCGCGGGGCCGGGCTCGCGCGCCGCGGCGGGTCGGCGATCGCCGCCGCCGCAGCCGCGACCTTGCGCATGGCTGCGCGCCTGCTGGCGCGCCAGGAGGGGCCAGACGCCCCAGGATCCTGCCTGGCACAGGCGGGAAAGAGCCCGCCGCGCCTCGGCACGGGCTCTGCTGCGAGTGGTGGAAGCGGCCAACGTCCTCAACGTCCACCACGCAGCCCAGCGGCACCAGCGCCAGCAGCAACACCAGCAGCAGCCACAGTACCAACAGCAGCAGCCACAGGTACCAGCACCAGCCACACGTGGACGTGATGGCGCAGTCCTGGCCCGTCGGGGCACAACCATGGCCGTGGAGGTCTCAGACGCGCGGGAGGTCGAAGACCAACCACCACCACTGCCAGAAGAGCAACAACGGCCACCAGAAGAACAACAACGACCAGGACGACAACAATGACCACCAAAAGTACGACGGCTACAACTACCAAAACGACCACAACTACAGAAAGGACAATAATAGATGGAGACGAAGTGCGCCAAGGAATGCGTCGAAGCAAAGAAGAAACCGAGGTCCCAAATAATACAAACAGATGACATCTTCAACAACTACATGATCTACTTGACGAAGAGGCAGATCGCGCTTGTCGAGCCCGTCACCCCCGCGCTGCTTCAGGTGGCGAAGGAGCACGAGAGTTTCTCGCACCCCCCCATAGAGGACGGCATCAAGAGGGTGTGGTTCACGACACAGGCCAACAGGTTCGGGAGGCTCGCGGACCAGGTAATGGGAGCTCAGCAGGCCCAAGTAGCTGTGACAAAGCTCTACAAAGAAATCGCCATCACCAAGGCCACCATCGCGATGCTTACCGAGCATGTACAGCGGATCAACGGCTACAGGCACGAGATCGACCAGAGGATCAAGCGCAAGGATGAAATCAGCCAGCAGATGAAGGACCTCGGGAAAGAGAGCGACCAGATCGACCAGAACATCGATGCCCTGAAGGCCCTGATAAGCGAGGCAAAGCAAATGAGAGCACTGACTGAAATAACGGACGACTCCAGCTGCGACGGCGACGAAGAAGAGGAGATGACCCCGAAGGGTGCGAGAGGTCGAACGCCACTTCCCAAGAAAGGTACCAACAAATATGGATCGAACGACTGCCACGGCGAACAGTACCATGACAAGGACGACATTAAGAAGCTCATCAGCGACATCCGCAAAATAATCGTCATGCAGGACCAGCAGCAGGAGAAGGCATTGAAGCACGCGCAGAGCCGGTGGAACGCTGCGCAGCGTGACGAGATCAGGACCACGAGCGGGAAGATGAAATACATGAAGATCAAGCTCGAGCACCAAGAGCAGGAGGCAGCGGACATGGCACTCAGGACAACCAAGAACGCCCTCACACGACAGGAAGAGTCGTACCAAAAAGAAGCGGAAAGTTACAAATTACGAGTGGTAGCTGAACTCCGCGAAGCAGAGGTAAACAAGAACGAGGAGGAACAACAACAAACCCAGCGACACTTCGAGATGCAGCAAAACAAGTACCACGAAGCTAAGGCCCGTGAACAAATAGAAGGACTACATCAAGAACGGCATCAATTGCATCGCAGACTATGCGAACTGCAACAATATCAGAGCGCTGAACTCCAGGCTGAGAGGCAGGAGATATACGAAGCGAAGGCGCAGCACGACGAGCGTAGGGAGGAGAGGATGAATCGCCAAGAGCAGCAAGTACAAAACAAAGCTGAATAACTCCAGGCCATGTGCGCCCAGAGTCGAAACGAGATGGATCAGCAACACCACCGGGCCACGAGGTACCTGAGGGCCGAAATTCAACAACAAGAACAAACACGCGCCCAAGAAGGGATACTTGAAGCTCATGGTGAAATGCAAGCGCAGTTCACGGAGGCCCAGAAGAAGCAGTTCCAAACGTACGAGGGGTGGCAGCACCAGGAGGCACGGAACAAAGACGTGCACATGCACCAGCAGAAGATCGCCTACGGAGAACATCAAACTAAAGCCCAGCCCAACATGGAAGAAGAACGAGCGTGGCATCGACGACGGCAACAACAATTGGAAGAAGCGATTGCGACCGCTGGTAAGACCCACGATGACAAAGATCGCCAGGCAGTCATGGATCTACGACGTGAGTTCAGCGAGGCTGAGGACGACCGACGACGGGAACAATACCTCGCAGGTGAGACCGAGAAGGAAGCTCAACGCGAGACGACACAGTGCCTGCAAGCTGTGCTGCCAGGACCCCTCGACGAGATGCGCCCAGACCTCGAGCCCTACACCATGCAGCTGGCCATCATGGAGCAAAATGTGCACTTAGGGCACAGGGCGCAATCGACCACCGACTGCGAGTTCAGCCTGACCGAGCTGGAATTCGTACCGGCGCCACACGAATCCACACCGACCCCGCTGCCACCAATGCCCAACCCGACGACGGCGCAACCTCAGGCGCTACGCCCAGGCATGAACACAGCTGCCGACAACACTCCCACCACGACCGATCAGAAGACCCACGACAGCGACGAGACCGACGGCAGCATAGCACCGACGCCAATTGCCGATGACGGCTACGACGGAAGGCTAACCCCCATTCCCGACATTCACGAAGACCCCGACCTAAGCGACTCCCGCCTCTTCAACCCAGCTCAACTTGTCGACTTGACGCCCATTCCACTTGAGCAACCAACGCCAATTGGACACCGACCACCAGCTCAGGTAACGACTCCAGCAGCAACTAACAACGTAGTTCCAGACGTCCGACCACTTCCCGCCCCACCTGAAGCCAGACAGCACGAGCTTGCATCAGGAGGGTCCCAACCCACCTCCGCCCTACTCATTGGCTTGAGCAACTACGGCGAAGACGCATCACCTCGCATACCGACACGAGTGCCCACCCCCTCAGCAATTACCCCGACCCAGCCGCACCAACCAGTCCTTCCACCCCCACGGTTCCACATCGGCACACCCGAGCGACGCAAGTCGGCACCCGCACCACGGATGATATCCGCACTCAATAGAAACGACCGAACAGTACTGCCAGTCAGGAAGGCCCGCATACATGACATTGATGACGGATTCTCAGACCCAACAGACCGAGTTTCAGAGCGAGCCAACGACGACGAGGGCTCGGATGGCGCCGCCAGCTCAAAAAACTGAGTAGGACCGACCTTGCTGAGGAGCTACTGGCCCAGCGAGGTAGTCCAATGCCAGTGCACCGAGCCTCTGGTCGACTCCAAACGACCATGCGACTGACTACGGCGGAGACGCCAACCAACGCTAGTAGTTATTGTGAACACCACGAAGCAACCAGCCTTCGGACCCCTGCGGCGGCGGCGACTTGCAACGCGGCGCAGCAGCTCCTCCCAGTAGGGGAGATCACAACACTAGTACATACCATGCCAGCGACAGCTTCGGGGACTGCTGACGCGCGTGACGACAACGACATTCACCATCACGTAGCAACTACTACCAAGACAAAAGCCCACAACAACAAGCACAATGCAACGCCGACCGACGCGGGGTTCAGCGACGGTTACATTGCGCCCGTACAGTGGGGAATCTATTTCAACGGTGAGCGCGCCAGGGCTACGCGCACGGTCGGACTGGAGAGACCCCCCCAGCCGATCTTTTGGACACCGCGCGTTGTGCAGGAGGTCCGACAACACGTAGTGGCCGACGAGTCCGCTTTCAGACCCCGACGCCACCCAGGGTCAGGCCAGGAGAGGCAACGGCGAACACACCGCCATGGCCAAACCGACCCCAGCCCGACCTGGCACCAGAGGCGAATCGCCATTTTGGCTTTGAGGCGACAACCTCGCACGAGGACCGAATTCATCCTCACTCCGACAAGCGGAGCGACCGCTATCTCAGCAGCGCGCCACCCGACATGATCGACGGCATCGAGGAGGCATTTTTTCACAGCGACAAGTATGGAAAAAACGAACGACGATACCAGTACCCACGACTACTTAGACAAACACAATGATTCGCCCGACGACAGTAGCACTGCGGAAGATCTCGTTCGACGTCGACTTGCACGAGTACAGCGACGACTGCGAGTGATTGCCAAGACGCACGACGGAAACATTACAACCAACAACCGACTGGCCGGCGATGGACAGCACGATGACGAGATGGGCAGCTACCACATGCACGACGATGAGATGGGCAACTACGACACTAAGATCGAAGGTCGCCATGACGAAGACGAAGACGAAGCTAGACATATGCAAGATAAGCAAATAATACAACGACAAATACGGCGACATCTACCCACATGGCCCAGACCACCACCACAAATACCACTGCACAACCGATTCAGCTGTCTAGACGACGCGAGGACCGACACAGAAGAAGGTAACGACGGAGCACAACGCACCGACGAACACACGACAGCACGACTCGGCTGCCTTGGTGAGGCAAGGCTCAAACTTCGAGACGGGCTCGAAGGGCGGGGGGGGCAGGACGAGCACTGCCCGCACCTACCAGGGGGGATGGCGAGGGGCAGGGGGGGGTGGGGTGGGACGGTCACTACCTGCGCCCCCGCGGTCCGCCAGCTCGGAGACGGAGCTTGCTTGCCCGAGCGCCCAAGTGGCGAAGCGGAGGGCAGCCGAGATATCCCTCACCGGCAACAGAAGCAAGCACAAGGCTTGGGGTTCGCCCCCACCGAGGGCACTGTGACCCCTAGCCATAGCGGGACGAGGTGGGGCAGCCACGAACCCCACTCGAAGTCGGTGCATGGAGGCCTTATAAGCGCGCCCATAACCGATGCCACAACACCAGCAACAAGCCGACTTCCCAACGACCCACTTACAAGCATGCACCATAAGCAATCACAAGGTCTGGGGTTCGCCCCCGCCGAGGGCATTGTGACCCCTAGCCATAGCGGGACGAGGTGGGACTGCCAAGAACCCCACTTGAAGTCGGCGCATGGAGACCTTACGGATGCAATAACCGCCCTTGCAACGAGTCCACCGACCAAGCGACCGCCCACTGCAGAGCTACCATCTCATCAACCACGAGCACGACTACAACCAGCAGCTGCACAGACATATTTACCAAGACAACAACCAGCAACGTCTCGAGCAATACCACTACGACAAGCGATGCAACCGTTCCGACTTGCACGACAACCAAGGGGCAACGCCACAACACTCGAAGACGCCAGACAACAGACGACACCACAGACTGGCCCGCCGACTAACACGAACAATCACCCACACATGCAACACGACAAGTATAACAAACTAAGGACGGCAGCTCAGACAGCATCACTGGGCACCGTCACCAACGAACCCATCCAGTTACTCACTAATA